TTGGGCTGAGAATCTCTGTCATTCAGTTAAACCATTCAGATTTAATCTATGCACAAAAAGAACTGCTTGTCCTCCTTCCCCAGCTCCTGCTCAGGCCCTTCAATGCCCTCCCAACCCAAACCCTTTAGGATTCCAGGAAAAATCCCAGCTGCAGCCACAGAGCCCTGAGGAGGACAGAAAGGTGAGGACTTGAGGGTCCCACAGCCCGTGAGGATGATGAAGAGGATGGAAAGGTGAGGATTTGAGGGTCCCACAGCCCGTGAGGATGATGAGGAAGATGGAAAGGTGAGGACTCACCTTGTTGAGGGCGCCACAGACTATGAGGATGATGAGGAGGATGCAAAAGTGAGGATTTGAGGGCCCCTCAGCCCTTGAAGATGATGAGGGGGATGGAAAGCTGAGGACTTGAGGGCCCCACTGCCCATGAGGATGATGAAGAGGGTGGAAAGGAGAAAACTCAACTTGTTGAGGGCCCCACAGCCCGTGAGGATGATGAGGAGGATGGAAAGGTGAGGATTTGAGGGCTCCACAGCCCGTGAGGATGATGAAGAGGTGGAAAGGAGAAAACTCACCTTGTTGAGGGCCCCACAGCCCGTGAGGATGATGAGGAGGATGGAAAAGTAAAAACTCACCTTGTTGAGGGCCCCACAACCCGTGAGGATGATGAAGAGGATGGAAAAGTGAGGACTCACCTTGTTGAGGGCCCTGCAACCCATGAGGATGATGAGGAGGACAGAAAGGTGAGGATTTGAGGGTTCCACAGCCCATGAGGATGATGAGGAAGACAGAAAGGTGAGGACTCACCTTGTTGAGGGCCCCACAGACTATGAGGATGATGAGGATGATGGAAAGGTGAGGACTTGAAGGCCCCACAGCCCATGAGGATGATGAGGAGGGCGGAAAAGTAAAAACTCACCTTGTTGAGGGCCCCACAGCCCATGAAGATGATGGAAAGGTGAGGACTCACCTTGTTGAGGGCCCCACAGCCCGTGAGGATRATGTGGGAATTCTCCACCTGGATGGTTCTCTGGCCCAGCCGGACGATGTAGGCCCCAATCCCGATTGCCCGACACGTGACCTGGAAAAAGAGGGAAAAAGGAATTTAAAAAAAAAAAAAAAAAAGCAATGGCATTGATTTGTGTCTTTCCACACAGCCTCAACCTATCGATTCAAACATTGAGATAAAACTGGGTGTGTTTGTAGTACAAGGCCTTAAAATCTACTCTTGCTGAAAAATTCCAGAACCCTGTTTGTGAAACACAAGATCTGAACAAGATACGTATTTTATTTTTAAAAACAAAGAGAAGCAGCAATTTGAGACTGAGCAAGCACAAGGCCAAGTGAGTGAAATGTTTTAAATTGAGGGTGGAAAGGACTGAGGCTGCTCAAAGGCTGCAGAAGCCCCTCTCCCTCAGCCAGGAGCTGATCCCAGCTGGATATCACCACAAAAACAGGAGTTTCAGCTCCAAAACACAACACATTTGAAGAATAGAAGGCAGTGGGGGATTACCAAGCTGATGGTGATAACGCTATCGTAGGCCAGAGACGATTCTCCAGCAATCATGCCGGATCCTCTGAGGTTCTCCACGCCCAGGCCGTCCTCTTTGCCGATAATATCCGTTATCTTGTACCTGGGGAAGACACAAACAGCCTCAGAGATTTGCTCAATCAGTGTGCCACCAGGAAAATGAGAATTGGTTAAATATCATCGGGGTTCCAAGGAGAAAGGCACACAAAGGGAGGGAGGGAGAGGCGCAGGGATCGTCCTGAGGCACCATGGAGAGCTCCCACAGGAGCAGAACGCTGGAGGACATTCCAGGGGACAGAAAAAGCATCCTGAGGAGCAGGGAAAAGAGAGAGAATGGAAGGGAATGCAGACAAAGGGAAAAAGGGAAAGAACAAGGATCGCCACGAGGCTCTGAGTTCTTCTTCGTCTCCTTCTCCCGCCCCTCCCAGCCCTGCCCAGCCCCTTCTCCCCACTGCTCTCAGACCGGTCCTTGCTAAGGTGAAACTCGAGAATGAGCTCCAGAACCTCCCTGAGGAGCCCCAGCTCACCCAGGACTGCTCTGGTCCCACACCAAACACCCTGTCCAGCCCCTCCAGAGCCTGCCTGCTGGGCTTTGGTTTGATTCCTGAACAAATCTGCCCYCACAGTCCAGCTCCAAAAGCTCCTSTGCACCTCATTGCCACGTGCTGCCCTGGATATGCAGCTGGGAGGATGCATCTGGAACAGGCCTGTGTGGAAAACTGTGGGCTACAACACAGCTCATTGCAACCCCTGCAGCCCAGGTCTGCCCTTCGCTCAGGAATTCCTTTATTCTTTCTATAAAATCCAGCAGAGGAGTAATTTTCAGTATTTAGACTGCAGGTTTGGGGTGAGAATCCCTGTCCAGGACCCTCAGCCATGAYTGGGGGGCAGCAAGGCACAACCCTTCACTCCCTGTCCCCTGCCCTGACCACACAGAGCTCTGGTTTCCCACACACCTGGATCCTAAGGAATGTCCCAGCTGAGGACAAGGACCAGGCATCACCCAAGGATGAACAGAAATCTTTTMATTCCTACCTGGATTCTCCATTTTCCTCCACGTGTTCACAGTGAACAGAGTTCAGGGCGCTGACTTTCTTGTAGTCTTGAGGAGTCAGGTACAAGTATTTGTATCCCTGCAGGGAAAAACAGCTCATCAATCCCAATCCCACCTTCCTGATCCCCAATAACCCCTTCCAAAAAGAAACTTTCACAGGGGCAGAGTTTAATTCCAYGGAGTGGTGAGAACTTTCTCTCAACACCAGMGCTGAGGCCAGYGAACGCTGGGAAYGGTGCAACATTTAGCACTAACTCCMTCTGGATGCCAACCTGCTGCCTGGGAGATCAAAAAATCCTATCATGGAATGGTTTGGGTTAGGAAGGACCTGGCTGCCATTCAGYTTAGCCTTCAGCAAGGATGGAGTGTTGGATCTGCATGGATCCAACACCAAGGAGAACTCCGGTCCCAGCGCTCTGGCAAATGTTCGCCTCACCTCCATTAGAAGAGGTGGTGTCAAAATGAGACTCCTGTGGGCTGCTGCAGCTTTCCCAGGTCCCCATGCCCCTCACCTTGTAAGGGTTGTCTGGGTCCTCCCAAGCCACGTGGAACATGTGGCGGATCTCCTCGGCCAGGCCGATGCGGGCGCCGCTGTTGGCAGCCACGTAGATGCGGGGGATGCCCTGTGCCCGCGCCAGCTCCGACGCCCGCATGAACACCACGTCCTCCTGYGGCCCGAAGGAGCCGATCCTGTACGTGATGTCGTTGCCAATGACAATGATGTCCCGGCCCTCGGGGTATTCTGGTGTTTTCAGGGTCATCTTCCAGGCCACCATGCCGATCTGTGGGAAGAGAGAGAGAACAGCTAAAAATCAACACGGTGCTCTTGAAGTGTGAGAGAAGGGAATAGCTCAGGGGTCACTGCTGTCCTTGGAGCAATGGCCTCTTGGAGTTGGCCCATCTGCCTTGGGAATGTGGATACCAGCAGCTTCTGGAARCACTCGATCCTTCCCTCGTTCCTCTCCACCAGGACATTCACCCTGGCTCTCCCCTTTCAGGGATTCAGCACAGCTGCACAGCTCCAGCACATCCTGCCCACATTCTTCTCACAGTGTATTCCCTGTGCTCACAGAGGGAGCAGGGATGTGCTGCTGCCCAGGATTCCTGACAGCCTGCTCAGGCTTCCCAGGAGTCACCCCACAACCTCATCACTCTCCCCCAACCCTCAYTGCAACAACCTTTTTATTTCATTACTACCTCAAATTTCCCCATCTTTCATTTCGTTGTCTCTTCCCTTTTTCCCTTCCCCAATCCCACAGCAGCTCCTCTCCAAACCTGCCTGGCCGAACAGCGCTTTTTTTACCGCACGTTTGTTTTATTTTCAGCAATCACGGGCAGATCTCTCCAGGCCCATCTCCTGGAGGATCAGCAGTGCTGTCCCCTGGTACCCCATYCCTCAGCCCCAGGAAGGAGGGAGGAARGGAGGRAGGRARRGAGGGATCTGGCCAGCCCCAATGCCATTAACGGATGGGCAGAGCAGCATCCCTTGAAAGCCCCATGCATCACCCAGCCCCTCGCCCAAGGACCATAAGCTCTGAGCACACATTCCTCAAGCCAATTGCACATCCTCTGCAATCAGCAGGGCTGGAATTCTCACTGTGGAGCCTCRGAATGCTGAATGTGATGAAGGGAAGCGGGAGGGGCGGAGGGGAGAAGCGGCAGACAGATCTGTGCCATTTAATCCACATCCAAACGGGCACAATACACAGCCCAGATCCAATCAGCAGCTGCAATAAGATATGCCATAATAGGCTCATTAAAAAAAATAAAGAGGCAGAGGAATTAATCAAAGGGTCATTGGAAGTAAAGCAGGCAGCAATCCGAAAATATTACAGCCAGCTCCTGGCAGATCCTTCCTTACAGCTCGCCTTCCAAGAGCTGAGATTGCAAGTTAACAGAGTGCYTCAGTTCACCTTCTCCTTGGGCTCCTCCACTCCTACTCGGACACAAAAAAAGGCAATAATAACTGAATATTTGCAGATTTACAGTTCCACCTCAGCATTCAGCTGCAGGGTTTGGAACAGAGAGATGCTGCAGCAAAGAAGGAAGCAGAAATTCTTAAAAGTCAGCAGGATGCTTTGATAAAATATCAGTACTGCTCCCAAAGGAAAGGGAAAAGTTGCAATAGAACAAGTGGATGCAGGAGTGAGTCTGGCACAGACCAGAKGCTGGGAGAGGAACCTGACTGATCCCAAACACAGCCAGAGACCTTCCCTGGATGTTTGCTCTTAGACTTTCATGGCAGACAGAGGAAGAATTGTGGTGAAAAAAAGGAGAAGGAAGTTTTTGTCCTTCTGACCTGACTGATGGAGGAAAAGYAATGCCAGGGGCTGGATTCTGAGCCTCTGTTCTCACTCTCAACTGTGGCAAGTTTGTGCTTGGAAACAGCAGGTTAAAAATCCAAAGTGCAAATCCAAAGTGAAAGGCTCCAAATCAACCTCCAGGAAATCAGGAATGCAGGGATGGATGCCCATCTGTACCCCAGCACCTACTGCAGCTCAGCTCTTTACAATTTAAAGACTTTATTTTTTGCATAACTAAAATTCTTCATTGGGCACTTCCTAAATCTTTCTGCTATAACCTCAAAAACAGCTTTAGTCACTGACAGAAACGCACAGGGAAATGGGGCAAAATTCTCTTTAAAATACACCACAAATTTCTTCCAAAACAGCACAGGGTTCCCACTGACTGTCAGRTTTTTAGGTGGTCACTTCCTTACAGGCACATGGATCCCATCAGCCAGGACAAAGAGAACAGTGAGTCCCCAGTATCCCACCCTCCAAGACAGACAAGATTTTCCTCATTTTCAGCAGCTGGATGATTTTTGACAGCACAGGGAAACAAAGGCATTTCTTATTTAGAAAATTCAGATTGTAACAGAAGTGTTGGAATAATTCCCTAACCYGAGATCATGTGTCCCAATAAAGTCCCAGTAGAAGAGAAAACAATCTAGCCAGGGCACAAACTCCTGAAAACAGTTTACAGCTGATAAATATGGAGCAACTCTATGCAGTTTAAGAAAATCAAAATTCAAATGCACCACTATTAACTGGGGTGTGTTTTGCTTCCCCAATTCATCATGTGTTTTGTGCCATTTATCCAATAATAAAAACCACAGGGATCTGCACAATTAAGAATTTTTTTTTTT